ACAGTTTCTCACACTGTCTTCCAAGCCACTCACTTAAGAACTGAAACTAATTAAAGCGTGCCACGCTCTGTGTTAGATAAAAACACTTCTGGATGTTTTGTGTCTGCAAAATTTTATAATGGACAGGAAACGTACAATTTCGACGGTTTTGTAAATAAACAAATCAACACTAAACCAGATGTATTTATATCATTATTGGGTTACACTGCATGTGTTTATTCCTGAATAAATTCGCCTTAAATTCTTAGAACAAGGCTAAAAATTGCAATATAATTTTTTCACATTACCTATACACGACCGTTTATTTAGATTATAACTCTGTTAAACAGAAACAAACTAGTCAAATTAATTTGACTAGTTGGAGCGCATTATTTGCATTGTTTACAGATATTTAAAATTAGGTTTTGTGATTATTTTTTGGGGGAATGTAGTACCTAAGTGAAACTTTGAACAGAATCTAACACTAGCACCAGTAAAAAAAGACAAGTATATCCAGAATGAAAAAATCGCTCTTTATAGATCGGAAGTTAGGTAATCAAAAATGAAGAAAATTGACGAATGGTTTGATTTTTTGGCTGTTTGATATATTTTTTTGAAAAATGTATCGGTGTGAAAAATTCATCACAATCAAACAATCGTGGTTTAAATGCACAAGTTCGACCATTAAATTGCTTCTTCTGCCAGTAGTGAAACACACAAGCACAAAAGTGTCATTTTAGCAGGCACTGATTAATTTCGCCATAAACAGGAGCCATTATAAAAGCAATAAAAATTGTGGATTGGGGCAAGTGATGTACGGGAAAACACACATTTCTATATATCCAGAAGTCGATTTCTTCAGGCAAATATTTAATAATTATTTTGGCGATTAACGAATCAATAGATGTTTAAATATTGATTTTTTTCCAAAATTTTGTTGCTTTTCAAGCGTGAATAAAGTCACTCCGCCTAGAAAAAGGAGTGATAGTAAATTTGTTCTTGACGTTTCGCAAGCACCAGTGGCTTGCGTCTTCAGAGGTGATTTGCTGCGTTAAGCAATGACCGTGAAATGCTATCCATTTTAACAAAGTGGAAGTAGTTTGACTATTTATTATCCGGCTTCTAGTAGTGAAACCGAAATAGGCAGAGTGAAGGAAGAAAAAAATGTTTTCACATATCCATAGCGGAGAAAAACGCGAGGTCTTTAACGATCAGAAGTTGAACAAAAAAAATTATTAAAACTGGGAGTCAAAATTTGTTTGGTAGGAAAGTCATTTGGATCAGGAGAGCAGCATAATGCTTTAACACATCCGGTGTTTAGTACTTAAACACTAAAGCGTTAACGTGCACACTTTCGTTCCATGTAAAAGACATTGAAGTAGGAATTATCGGGCTGGTTGAAAAAATAAAATTAGGAATGTTTGGCATTGGTCTGAATAGACTGAACGACGTTGAATAAGTTCCAGCATGAGTGAAAACAAGCATTTTTTTAAATATCCAGAACGAAGAAAACGCTCCTTAAACATAAGGAATTTGGCTATTAAGAGTAAAACTGAAAGTGACAGGAATTGTTCCAAAATTTTGCTGTATTTTTGGGAAAATATTACAGTAGGTGTAACAATTCATCATTAATTTGGACGTTTTCGTTCTATATAAGCCACTGAAGTAGAAATTATCGGCCAGGTTGAAAAAATAAAATCAGAAATGTGTGGCATTGCGCTGAATAGGCTGAACGACGTTGGAATAGTCAATATTGAATAGCTTCCAGTATCAGTGAAAACAACTATTTGTATATATACAGGACGAAGAAAACGCTCCGCCATAAAAAAGTTCCACTAGAAGTAGCAGAAATTGTTTCAAAATTTAGCTGTATTTTAAGGAAAATATTAGAGTACCTACATCTATTTTCTAGAATGAATGGACGCGAAACACTAAATTGTTAATTTGGACGTTGGCGTCCCATAGGAGCGATTGAAGTAGAAATTGTAGGCCTGGCGAAAAAAATAAAATCAGGAATGTGTGGCAGTGCGCTGAATAGGCTGAATGACGTTGAAATAGGCAATGTGGAATAGCTTCCAGTATGAGTGAAAACAAGTATTTTAATATATACAGGGCGAAGAAAACGCTCAGCTATTAAAAAAGTTCCACTGGAAGTTGCAGAAATTGTTTCAAAATTTAGCTGAATTTAAACAAAAAATATTAGAGTATCTATATCTATTTTACAGAATGAATGAACGCGAACCACTAAATTGTTAATTTGGACGTTGGCGTCCCAAAGGAGCGATTGAAGTAGAAATTGTAGGCCTGGTAAAAAAATAAAATCAGGAATGTGTGGCAGTGCGCTGAATAGGCTGAA